CCCCAAAACCCCAAAACCCCAAAACCCCAAAACCCCAAGATTATTAAAGATTTTTGAAATGTATAAATTAATTTTTAACCACATCCCAGGATGCAGGATACCTAAATTTTCACGTTTAAATCATTTTAGCAGGTTTGCTTCTTATCGACAATTCTGTACAACCCAAGCAGCTGAAGAAGAAGTGATGAATCTGAATAAAATGGATTATTATGAGCTATTACAAGTATCTCCAAGTGCGAATGAGAAAGAGCTCAAACGAGCATATCTCAAAATAGCCAAAAAGTATCACCCTGATATTTATGAAGGTGTGAATCCTGATTATTTCAAATAAAGCAAATGAGGCTTTCACTACTCTCAAAAATCCCTTGAAAAGGAAGGATTATGACAAGAAAATTAAAGTAATTAGGATGAAGAACAACAAAGATTTTAAAAATTTCGATAGAAAATCAGCTAGCAAAGGTTTTGACAGAAATATGTACCAAAGAATGAAGAAAAACTCCTCAAAAGCTAGGGAGGAAATAGATCCAGAGTTTGAAGAAGAACTCAAGAAGTACAACTTTGATAGGATGTTCATGGAGTTCAACCAAAGACCAATGAGGTCCCATCCAGAAGAACTTAAGGTTATGGAGCCAGAGATCTTCAAGAAAATGTCTCGAAGAGATATTGCCAGGCTTAAGTATGTCACTAAGAGGAGACAGATGGATAAAATCAATAGTAATCTTAAACTCAGACTTCAACACGAAAGACTCAAGATCCTTGATGTGACTCAGGATGGAGGAATGGACCAAAAGAGCTATGACCAAATTGTTGAAGACATCAATCGGAATTACAAGCAGCTCGAAAATGTTGAAAAGCCTCTCCAGGTATACAAAACCGAGAAAGAGATGATCATTGAGAAAAAGAAGCAACAAGATGTACAAATTAGCAAGGCTAAGAGATATGTCTATCCTTTCTTCGGAATTGCCTTTGTTATCAACTCTATCTTACTCATCGGATACTACTACCAAGATAAGGAAGCAAAGAAGTTTGATAAATTTGATAAATACAGGGATCTCCAAATCGACTCCAGGGAGGAGAGTGCGCATGTCCCAATCGAAGTGTTTCAGAGAAGGCAGGGATAAAATGATCTTATTCAACAATGAATATTGAACAAGGGGTTTTGGGGTTTTGGGGTTTTGGGG